GGTGTGATGACGTCGGCACGAAGTCTCGGACGTTTAGAAAACGTGTAAACTGGACACGAGTGGCTCTGTACATGTGTACGATCTTATAAGGACACATTAGGCCATGTTGATTTGATTTCATGGATGACATCCTCTGGGAACCCCAAAACTGACGCGAGCGTGCGAATATTAAAAAAAAGTTGCCTTCATTATGAAATCTACGTGGTCATAAGGGTTGAACAAATGACTAAACACAAAGAGTATGGTATGGCGAATAATGATAGACTCTTCATTTCAATTCTTAACATTTTCTTCTTTTTCTGAATTGATTTCGGCATTTTAGGACAATAGTATCGTTTTCAAATACTTTTTCAATTGCAACATACGACGTATTTGCAACATACGACATATATATTATCTCATTTTGTACGATTTACAGTTTTTTTTAAACGGATCGGACGAAAATTCATGCGCGCGCCCATGTCCTCCGTAGAATCAAATCAACATGGCCTTACAGCACAGGAAATGGGTTTGGAATTCTCTACTGTCTGGGCAATCTAGCAAGTGTAGATGGCCTGGCGTAAGCTTCAGGGTACAGCAGGCTGTTTCATAACAAGGGCTTTAGAGATTTGACACACGCTTAGTGAGATGCTTTTCAGCATGGCCTTCAAAGACCGATTTACGTAACCAGCTCAATGGTACTTTGTAAGATCATACGTTCATGGCTAAAATGCACTGCTATTAACTATGCCTATCTAGTAATATATACCTATAATTCTTGATGTTCTACCGTACACCTTTTAATTAATTATGCAAATTTTAAAAGTTGAAAGCTTGTAAATATATATGTCTGTAATGTTGAAAACTAGACAAAATTCTTTAATATGTAAATTGGTTTTTAACTCAGTCCCTGTAAACTTCAATAAACCAATAAGGTATCGTTTCGTATGGCATCGTATCATAAGTGATAAGTGATTAGGATCAGGTACGGTTCTGGATACAGATTGTGTGAACTTTGCAATGTCGATAGCTAAATCCCCCACCTTCTCTAGCTGGCTGTCTCCTTAACGTGGAAGCCTACATGGCAGAGGTCTGAGATCGAAGGACAACTTCACGCAGTTAAGCTGCAGGACGTCTAGGTTTAAGAATAGTGTTTTACCCTTTATTGTCGAGCTGCTGAACCATTCTTGATAGGATTTAATGTGTATCATGCCCCAATTTAGCCATGTAAGGCTGCAATGGGATGTGTGTTGTAAATAATAAATAAACCAGTTCATCATTTGCCATAGGCAAGGTTCTGGATGAACGTGGACTATCCAGGAGCGTTCCTGGATAAAGCTCTGTTGAAGGATGTTTGTGTAAAGGTCCGTAAGCACCATCACGGCTAAATCCCCACGCAAGGCTCAATGGCGTTTTAAGAGCGCAAAAGTCAATAGTTACTATGACCCTCTACATGTCTTCATGTACAAGGCTGAGGGACATTATGTAAGTACAAACGTCCATCCTCACTAGGAGTACGACCTTTTCAATGTCCTTGTGGCTGCATAAGTTGATGATCACCAAGGCCTTCTCAATATACCCACTCAACTCAACACCGTCTCATAGGGCACGGAATGTCCGTGGTAAACCAATTACTAGCTTACATGTGCGGACACGCGTTATATATTTATAACGGTTGCAAAAATAAGTGTAGGTGACGATACTGCTTTTGTTATAATTTCCTTACGTACCAATCAAATTACGCTGCCCTAGATGCAAAACACGTGAAGTGAGCCCTGTCACATGTTTCTCTCTTGCTAGTACGTGTCAAATATTTTATCGTGGGGTCGTGTGGCGTAACGACAGAGCGTTCGGCTCGGAACCAAGAGGTCCCGAGCTCGAATCCTGCCATGCCACCGATCTTGTGGCCTTGGGAAAGGCACTTTACACAAATTTTCTCACTTAACTCTGGTGAAAATGAGTATGTCTGTCGTCCGTGCGTTTGTCTTTGTTGGTGGCGGCATAAAAATAACTTTAAAAAAAATTAGAGTGTTCCGTCGCCATGTCTTGCGATAAATGTTGGAATAGAAAAAAAATACCAAGAAACCGTCTGAAAATGCTCCAGGGATTAAACAGACCCCACAAGCAGTGGGGCCTCGGTTATAGATTAAAATGTATTACGGGACTGAATCCTTGTAAGGAAAAGAGATCAATAAAATTGACAGCTTAGGCAACAAAACTCATGTCAAATACGAATCATAGACAAAATGGACAAACTTTTCTAGCAAAGAATGTGTTGAAATCATGTCCACGATTTTTACTCTACGGACAGCCCCTTATAACTTTAGTTATCCAGTTATACTTCTAGATCGAGTTCAATCTTGCATTTCTTATCCCCCCCATCCTTGTTAAGACTTCACACTTGACTCCTTATGTCCGCTAAGTATGTCTTAATCCCTAGACGACTTTACAGACGTCAGTTCCTTCTCCTTAAGGCCTGGTCGTGACGCAATCGTTACTCCAAGGTGCCGCCTAAGTGCGATTCCAAGAATATGAAGTTAACGGAGCATAGAAAAGTGCAGCCGATAAGGCGCTATTATGTAGGATCATTGTTCCCGGACCGTGGCTATCTAACCATTTATAGTAAGGTTTTAGTCTTGAGCAGAGCCGTGGGTTAATCATGTGGCACGTGGTATAAATGTCTAATGAAGGTACGCTGGGTCGTGTGGCCTAGCGGCAGAGTGCGCGACTCGGAACCTAGTGGTCCCGGGTTCGAGTCCAGATATGCCACCGATCTTGGGCCCTTGGGAAAGGCACTTTACACGACTTTCCTCACTTCGCTCAGGTGAAAATGAGTATAGTCCTGTCATTTATTTGTCCCATGTGTTGGAGGCGGCATTAATTATAATATAAGTTAAAAAATATCGAGTGTGCCGTCACCACGTCTTGTGATTACTTGTTGGAATAAAAAAAAGGTACGTAAGTGCTGCTGTATGCAGATGCAAACGCACGAAGAAGAAAGTCTTCTAGATAAGAAAGTGTCCGGAAATGCGCAACTCGTTAGCACGCAAGTTGACGCAACAAAGGCCAGACTGTTGGTCAACGTGCATTAAAATCATGTTTTGAAATCAGGTATACGAGAAATTGATAATTAAAAAGATAATGGACAGAAACACCGAACACAAACCAGGCTAATGGCTTAAACATTTAGTCTATATTTCTTTGAAGTCAAAAATATCGTTAATACTACCTTCTTGTGGATGAAGAACAAAAACACATTTTGGCATATGCTCCCTTGTCATGGAATCTATCGCAGTTTTGATTTTGGTGGCATGAAAAGAAACAATCTATGATTTATTCCAACCCTTATATAACTATGTATAAAAGATTCCCGTCTGTGCAGGTCTATGATGTAGGCTCCGGTGTCCCAGTTAGTCATGTATGTACATTTGTATGTAGTAAAACGTGTGTTTAGATCTTCTACCGGCTCATAACCTTCATTAACCTCTAGTGACATGTAAGAAAAATCCTGTTCTTCTTAAGTAAAATATCAAAGCTTCCAGGTCCAGGCTCTTCATCCATACATGGACGTCCACGGACGACATAAGAAGTCGCCTTGCTTGTGTAACGCACCGTGTTCCACGCACAAAGACGCTTTTTGCTAGGTACCGTCTCTTGGGAGAACGATCTGCGAATCAGACGTTTTGCCGGCTTGCTTGTAGTAATGTTCCTTCAGATGTGATAGCTTAAAGGTAAGATCTATTATGTGTTATGTATTAGCGCCTTATAAATATTGGCATCTTCCGAGTTTCTGGATGTTGTTTGACTGTTAACATCAACGCACTATTCCTCTAAACAGGCAAAAACATCTCAGCTTGGCTTCGTTGTCGAAATTTTAGCTCCTTTGCGTAGTACTTACATATAGGTAAACGGTAGAAAGCCAAGGTAGTGCCAGTGTTGTCATGTGGTTGTTAATGTTAGACATAGATTTCAAAGGTTCAAAAATTTTGTTGTTGAAACGGAAATTATTAAATTTAGCAAAAAATGCAGAAACCCTTTGCCATGGCAACAAGACATAATCTTATTCCACTGATACAGATTTGTTGCCAACAATATTTTAGGAAAAGTCACCAAGTTTGGCGATTCTAGCGCTAGCCGTTCAGACGCTATGTAACATCAAAGTTAGCGCGGGCACTTTTAGCCC